AGGTCTTTGCTTTTTTCCAACACCTACACACCTGCCAATTCCTGTGGTTGCACTGGAGGGTCTGACTGATCTTTTCCGCTGAAAAATTTATTGATAGCTTGTTTCATTGTCACGAAAGGTCTAAGCGAGAGCAAGATGAACCAGACACAGGCAGATGACATCCTGCATGGAATCAACCCCAACCCACGGTGTTAGGATGACCATAAACTTACGACAGCCACACACACATATATGCACACACCAATTCTCTCTCACTTCTGGTGTTTCACAATATACAATGATGATTAAAAATAAACAAATGGGGCAACATGTTTGCAAGTCGCACCATGCACTCAGTTGAAAAATCTAGTTGCACTGTTGCAAAAATAGCTGAAAAAATGCGACTAAATGGTCAGTCATGGTCACAGGTGCTTCTATGATTTTGTCAACCCCAAGTATCAACGAGGCTAGGCTACATTAAAGAAATACACAAGCACATGTTCAACAGTTGTTCTGAAAGACGCTGCAGTTAAACTATACTTACCTGGGCCTCGGGAGTCAGCTGTTTCTCTCTCTCCTGCAGAGAGACCTTACAGTAAGACTGCAAGGCCAGATAATTCTTCCTTTTCCACTTCCTGTCAAAGCGGTCTGCATGTTGTTTGCAGTATGCAAAAAAAGGATCTGCAATATCCTGTGGAAGCAAAAATGACATACCTGAATGTATGCTGGACAGGAGAAAACCCACTTCAAAAATAGGTCTCTTTATTAAAACTATATGGCATTCTGTGTAAATGGGGTCATATGTGCAATATCTGAATCAGCAGTAACCTGACAGACAGAATGAGTAGTATCACATTATCTTGTTAAGTTTTTCAAAGCTGTTGGCACTTAAAATTTTGCAGTATCCAAAATCCATAAATCAATCCCACAACCAATGAAACAAGTCACACATTAGTCAAAATGTGTGATCTGTCTCTATAATCAGGTTCAGCTAGTGACAAAGAAAATATCTTTGTAGATGTGTTAGATTTACATATGACTTTCAGCCTAACAACAACAATTCTTTTACCTGGGTGTAACAAAAGCCTTACAACTCAGTTTGAGTGGTATTTTAGTACTTTAAGGTCCTGCTTGAGAAGAACACAGATAAACACAGGGCTGGTCTTTCATTTGTTGTTTTGTGTCTGTGTTTATAAAACCTCGAATAATTGCTTCACTTCAGTTTGGCTGGCTAGCAGCATAGCACCCAACAGTGAAATTGTTTTCCACCCCTTAAAAAGCTTTATCTTCCAGGTTGCTCCCCTCACCTCCTCTGCAGCAGCCTCGGACAAGAGTCCCTCCCTCTGTGCACAAGTGACGTGGAAATAGGATCGACACATTCCTGCATCACAGCTGATGCACACACCAGTCCTGGCAAAGCGGACATCTTCGCAGAAACTGCACTCCTACATGAAACAGAGTACAGTACAACAGGGAGACTACAAGTTTTTGCTGCAACAAAGTGAAAGTGAACACTTATTCCTGTTTGCCCAGCATCACATAGGTTGCTTTCACATACACATACGTGCCACACAATTTTTTTCAATGGTGTGGTGCAGGCACGCATCTACTCTAAAACAATGCATTTTCTCTTAAGACATTGAGTTAAGTATGAAAACAGGATGGATAACATGTTACATGTGACAATTCCACTTCATTTTCTACTTTAAACAAGAGCTCAGCTGCTTTAAGTGCTAAACATTTTAAAGTTGAGGTAAAGTAGAAACAAACGTGTTCTGAGTTTGTCACACCACAGGAAGATGTATTATTAACCACCCAGCAAAACATGAATAATGAGACAGCAGCATTAATGTTATTTCCTAGAAAGAAAGAAAAAACACAACTGTGGCTATAAAGTTTCATCTGCGCTCAGTCTCATGAGTGCCCGAAAAAACAAAAATAAGCATAGAGCTCTGTGTGCTCTAGCTTTTATAACATTCCAGTGCCAGGGGGAGGGTTATGCTAAGAATGGCTCCAGTGCGTCACCGAGCCATGCTTTCTACTCCGCCTGAGAAATCCTGAACTCAAAAATGATGAAACAGTCTAAATCCACAGTCCAGCGTTACATAGTTGTCAGTCTTTTCATGCTTTCAGCAACTATTTTCTGACATGTATATTGTGTTTACAAAAATAATTATAGATTTTGATTTACCCAGACCTTAACATTTCAGTGTGGTGGCTAAGTTTAACTAAAATATTAACTGCTTTTGTCATCAACACTTTAACTGACACCACAACTCCTTTAAATGAAACCAACACCTCAGACTCTTTCAGTGCTTGAAATCCTGAAGTGAGGCTTCACTGGAGTTCATACAATACCTCGTATGCAAGAATGAACATTTCAGAACAATCTT